GCCATAATCAGTTATTCTAACTAATCTTTAAAGAACAAGTGTACCCATCCTATAGTATTCTAAAGTGTTTTTTTTTTTTTGTGGTACGCGGGCCTCTCACTGCTGTGGCCTCTCCCGTTGCGGAGCACAGGCTCCGGACGCGCAGGCTCAGCGGCCATGGCTCATGGGCCCAGCCACTCTGCGGCATGTGGGATCTTCCCGGACTGGGGCACAAACCTGTGTCCCCTGCATCGGCAGGCAGACTCCCAACCACTGTGCCACCAGGGAAACCCTAAAGTATTTTATTTTAACTAATGAATATATAAATCTTGTGTTTTAACTTAAAAGTGGGTCCCATAAAAATATCAGCAGACTGCATTAAAAATTATTTTGCCAAATAAATTTCACCTTTGTCCTTTTGTCAGCAGTTACAACACCAGCACCACCTTCTAGTAGTCAGCTCTGCCGTTACTTCCCTGCTTGTAAGAAAATGGAATGTCCCTTCTATCATCCAAAAGTAAGAACTTTAATTTTCCCAAAAATGAATTTAGTGGTAACTTCTCAATTCTGAGCTTGTAAGGTCACTAGCAAACTATACTGTCTTCCTTCCCCCAGCCCCCAACGTTTAACATTTTTGTTAGAGTTCATGTTATGGTTTTTAAGATCTTTAAGTTATTCCTTAGTTGTCCCTGAGCCCGCGTCTGGCCCATTAGGCCAAGCTGTCTGAACCGTAGCCTAATCTCTTAGGAGAATGAAGCTCACTTTCGCCGGTCACTTTCCATTCTTCTTTGCCCCTGTGTGTGTTCCCCCTCCCGCAGCCCCCATGCCAGAACTGAGATGATGAAATCCAGTAGTATTTAATGATACCATCCATACTTCTACCATGGTTTTAATTGTCTGGGTACTAAAGATTGGTTGATGTGTCTCCAGCTGTTTAGTTGCTCAGCGTGAATCATCTTCTCTTTGGAATAGCAGTCTGGAAACCGTACGAAAGGCCTTTACTTCCCCAACTGCAGTTGGGCACAGATGGGGGTAAAATATAAGGGATGTTGGGCAGTATGTGCAAGGTGGTTAGTACATTGATTAGAGGCAGTTTGTATTACATACTAAAGTCCCTTTTGAAACTTAACTTGCTGTTATTCTTTCATTAGGATTTTGTGTCTTGGTGGGGGTCCATTTTTCAGGGCTTCAGTGGTGTATTAAAGCGGAAGTTGCAGATCATCTCTGCTGCCCCATTAACCTTATGGTGGGCTGGTTACTGTCATCTCAGATTGCTGTGTTTTTTTGTATTAGCTTTGCAGATGTTGAAACTATTCTCTCTCCTTAGCACTGTAGATTTAACACTCAGTGTACAAGACCTGACTGTACATTTTATCATCCCACCATTACTGTACCACCACGACATGCCTTGAAGTGGATTCGACCTCAAACCAGGTAAAGGTTAACATCAGTTTTTCTAATGTCATTTCAAATGCTTTTCTAGTATCTAGTTTCTTAAATTTATAAGCATACAAATTTGGGGGAAACTTAATCACTTTGGTTTTTCTCTGCTGTTCAATTAAGGGTCCTTTGGAAAAATAATCTACTACATAAACCAAATTTTGTTTCATTCAGCAGTTGCTTGTTTACCTAGATCATCTCCACATCAGATTTTTCTTTAACTTCTGAACATACTATGTGAACATAAACTTAAGGCCTTCAAGAGTTATACTGCTTACAAATCTCACATCAGTTTTCTTAGACATTAGTAATTGTAAAACATTGAAAGTAAATTTCAAAATATTTTTACTGTGGCCTGTAAATTTAAATGCATATGTTAGTATTAGAACCAAATATTCATTGTCTGAAAAAACACAACTTCTCTTTAACTGATGTTAATTAAAGCAGTTAATTGAAAAAATTTTTGGTTTTTTTTATTCAGTGAATGACACCCAGTCCTACTTGGCAGAAGACTGTGGAGTTTGAAAGTTTCCATTACTGATGAAAGACATTCTACAGAATTTGTCAAATCTTTGAAACTTGGAATATATTGCTTTCATAATAATGAAGTTTATTGCCTATCTGAAGTGTCTAATTTTTCAAGTTTGTACGTTTATTAAGTGATTTTAACATTGGGTGTTTTTTTTGTTGTTTTGTTTTGACTATGGAAAGATAGTTTCAGGAGAAGATGAATTCTATTAAAACATTTGAGGCATGTTTGTGTGTGAAACTGCTGTGTTCAAGTATCAGCATTTACAATGTTGGTGATATCATTGTTAGTACTGATAATCCAGTTTCAGGCTACAGCGTTGCTATGTGTGTAGAGAGATGTATGAGGGCATTGTCCTTCTTCCAAAAGTTGGATTGCTGTTTTCTTTGACTCTGAAAACAGGAGTGGCCCAAAGTGTTGAGGTGGCTTAAGACAGTTATTCAGCCTGACTTTTAAAGTGAATTTAGTATGAAAAACATGATAACACAAGCTTCTTGGGTTGACTGCTGCTTTGGTAAATGGTTCCCAAATATCTCAGTCCCTTGCTTTCTGAGAAAGGATGAGTGAGCTGGGGCGTGTAGGGTGAAACAGTTGGAATGGCAAGGGCAAAAAATAGGAACAGTTCCTTAAAATGCCTTCATTTACTGTTAACATATGTTTTTTAAATAAATATTTTGGGATCTACATTATCACAAAATTATACAAAATATTTTTTACAAGTATATACATAAGGTATCAGAACAAACTTTAAACTCACAAGGTTATAGCTATACATATATATTCTCACATTCTGAAAAATAACATTCTAAGAAGTAACTAACTCCACAGAAAATATAGTTATTACTGAAGATAATTTTTTAAATGTAAAAGTTAGATTTTTTTAAATGACAGACTGTATAATTACAGAGATCAGATGGGTAAACTGCAAAATAGGACTAAACTTTTGGAATACTGAATGAAAATAGGCTTTTGTATATGTGGTTTTAAAACTGTTAAGGCAAGAAGTGTCCAATGCTTTAGAATTAAATAACGGATCACTGATTTTAAAGACGATGTAGTTTTTTAAAAAAGTAAAGCTAAAAGTTGGTTAGAAAAGAGTTAATGCAAAAGGGATAGTAAAGACTCAAAATATTCTCAGGACCAAATTAAACTATTAAAAAAAAAGTTCATTGACTTGTTTAGTCATATACCCAAGGGATAATAAAACTACGTATGTAAAAGTCCACGTTTCAGAGCCTAAAACCAGCAGCCTTGTGGCCATCTCTTTTCCATTGAGAGAAGAAAGAATTATCCAGTTATTAAAGTTGCACTTAAAGTCTTTTAAGTTGCACTTTGCTGTGCTTATAAGACTTGAAACATTAGAAAAAGACAGTGCACACAAGAGCATGCATAAAGCTATCAATCATGTAGTTAGTTAGGCTTGGGTGAAATGAATGACAATTCCACTTCATTCTAAAAAGTTTTCTTCATTGAATTGAAGGTATTTTTTCATTCCAGTGTTAACTTACTTGAGATGCTTTACATCTGTGCAGAAGAAATTTGATTTAAATTGTATTTCCAGAAATTTAAACAGACTTTTTAGTATCATTACTTATAAATGGAGTATAGTTGCATTCTCATAATTTCACTGTAAAGAACGTAACTGGGAAACAAGAGCTTAAAGTGGTTTTAGTTCAGCCATTTTACAGGGAAATAAAAACATGCTAAAATCAGATTGTTTTTTTGCTATTTAATAGACACAGCCTGGAGACACATTTAAGAGTTTTTTCCTTCAGTTGCTATGGTTTATGGGCAAGCTAAGGTTGACTCTAAAATATCTGTTGGGTAACTTGGTCCAAAATGAACCATCATCGAAAAAGATCACCAAAAATAAGGGAACAGACGTGGCTAGCATTCCACAGTGGAACCAGGGTGCAGAGGGTGCTCTGGCATGCATCTGCCAGAAACAGGACTAAAGGTGCTAGGAGAAGGCTCAGGTTACAAATTCGGGAGTTTAGTCAAATACTGCACACAGAAGTAATTCTCTGGGTTAAAAAAACATAGGTCATAATCTACATGGCCGACTGTGGTTATTCACCTTCCCGTAGTTGATGGCTGCTATAAGCAAGGTGGCTGTGGGATGACTACTTAAAATCAACGTGACCTTTAATCGGGAAACTGACAACAGTGATTCAGGCTGGCTTATCAGGTTGGCCACTGGGAAGAACAAAAATGCAGTGGAAGCAATTTTATCCTATATAGTTTATTTGCTTAAGGTTATAGTTGAGTTTCTACCCGCACTGTAAAGGAACTGGAATTTCTCTTTAGCCAAAAGCAGGTGAACTTGACTCAGAAGGAAAATTTGAAACTGCAACAGCCTCAAAAATAGAGGGAGAGGAGAGTGTGGTTCATGGGAATTTTTTGCTGTAATTTATTGGCTGCTCCTTTATAATACACGTGAATAGAAACTTAATATTAGTGTTTTCTCAAATTGGGCTTAGTTTAGGAGAATCCATTGATAAGAAAAATGAAAGAAAATGACCTTAATGTTTCAAGCTTCTTAACAAACACCCCAATCAGTCCTTCAGACACAGCTATTCAGAGCTTTAAAACTGGCCAGGTTCAATCACTGCTTAGGCTTTCCATGATAAAATTCAGCCATATCTGTTTTTAATATTTACAAGGTGTTGCACATAGAAAACAGATTTCCAGAAACCTGAAGAAGGGGTCTATTACGCTACGAAGATATTTAACACATTAAAGTAAAAATTATAGGACCAAAAGAGCATCTTAAACTTCTTCATACTTAGAAAAATATATTTTTAAATAGCAGTCTGCATAACTTCCAGTCTTCAGGAAACTACAGATAAGCTAAACAGCAAGTTCCTGAATGGCAAGTACCGATCTTTGGCAGCATTTAAAGTGAATAGGAGTAAAGATCTAAGAGTTCAGCCCCAATCCACCAAAAAGGAATTTTTATAGACAAGTTTTACAAGTGGACCTATCTTCATTCCTTTTGAAGTCAGCCGATGGGGTGACATACATCTAACTAAACAAGTTTTTCCAATAGAAAAAAAAGGCTATAAAAATTTTATTTCAAGAGTTAACTAAACTGTATAACTTCGTAAATGTGAACTTAACGCTTTAGTTTACATGTTAAACAATGTTTCTATTAGACTACATCTTTAAATACTCAGTATTCTCTGCCAGTTAAATACTATTGCTATATAAAACCTTAAACTGTACACCACTGGAAATGACTGTTCATCATACTGCTTTTTCATTAATGAGGCCATGATCATATTTTACTCTTTCAATTATAGGGATGAATTCTGAACACAAGGTTGACAGCTCAAAAATGAAAATGTAGCGATCATACACCACTAACTTTGGATTTGTTCCTGAATTTAAAATTTCCAGGAGAAAAATGTCCCTTATAAACAGGACTTTATTAATGCTTAAGAAGCATCATGTTCTCCAGTAAAGCCTGTGTGTGTTTTCTTAGGGAAAATAATGTTTGCCTTTTAAAACCTGTGATCCTTTAGGGTGATGGTGTATTTCCTTATGTGAACACAAGGATAAAATATTTTATTAAACAGTTGAAACTTGAAAATAAAATATAAATTCTAAAAAGAAAAAGCTTTGCTAAAAAGAGGAAGAAAATTATCCAAGTTGGATTTTTAAGGTTTTGGTTCATTTCTTTGAGGAGCACTGTCTCCCAAACCTCCCCAGGAAGTCTGCCAAATCTGCATCCTCCCTAAAATGGGGGGTGGCTTTTACCAGCAAATATTTATTCAGTCCCTCCTTGAAATGTAATTATCTGGCAGTGTATGGATTATGGACAGTTATTTAGTGCATATAACAAATATTTTGAACTTATCAATCTTTCTACTTTAACAAATTTGGATAAATCCCTGTTACAGTCTTAAGTTAGCACCACATGACCATGCAGCGTTTGGTTCTGGTTTTTTCCTCTTGTGTAGTTCTGGTTTCTCAAGGCTGTTGCTTTATGGAGTCTTCTCAGCATCCATATCTTTCAATGAGGCATATGTACACATTTCCAGACAAACAAACTGCAATCAGAGAAAGAACTGCAGTGAGTTCACTATATTTATAGATTTTCAGAACAGTTTACAATGTTTTAAATTAAGCTTTCAAATCATACATGTGTAAAAACTTTACTCTTTCAACTCCTTTTATTCTGTATTTACATAGTATGTGACCCCAAGGAGCCATATGGTTAGGCGACCTTTTTATGATGACTAGCTGAGTCCACAAACTGAACCTGTCAAAGAAATAGTAATAATCTCTTAACTAGTAAAAGACAGTCCCTGCTCTTCTTGGGCTGAGAAAGTTACCAACCTGCAGTCATCACCTCCAGCACTAATAACATGTCGATCACCACTGGTAAATCGAATATTTGTCACATGGGGTGAATGACCCAAGAACCTTTTGTGCTTCGCCTAAAAAACAAGAACAAAGCTCAGGGTGTGTGATGAACACAGAAGTCAAAGGTTCTTAATCAGGAGCTATTATCTCCATCATGAGTGCTGTGGAGAAAGCAGTTTGGAGCACAGCTAATGATGAAATGCTCTCTCAGAATCAGTAATGGATCTGCATTGAAAAGCATTTGAAATTTGGTAACTGATTAAAGGTTTGATAAAAGACTAATCACAGGATAGTCTGCGAAGATGGCGCGGCTTGGGGGCAAGGGGAGATAATTTCTAATAGCTTTTATTTCAGAGTAATGGATTTAGGAAGTTTGGAGAAAATTTTAGAATCACAAATTTAAAAGTACTTTCAAATCATGAGACAATAACATTTTAGCTATTATGTGGGAAAAAGTACTAATGATCAGAAGTCTAAATCAGGAGTAAAGTTGCATAAAATACTAAACCCAACGTAAACTTACAAATTTTTCAGGACATGGGAAGTCAAATAACTTAACCATGCCAAAGTCATCTCCTGTTACAAGGCTGATTCCTGAATGAGAGACGCAGGCACAGGTGACATCGGCTTTCTCAGCATGTCTGGACCAGATTCCCATAACTTCATCTCCTAGAATGCTAGAGAGAAGGAATAAAAAAATCCACCATAGCACACACAGGTTTACCATACTGAAAAAGTTTCTTGGTAATTAACCTCTGAGTACCTAGTTATGTTATTTAAACACAGGAATAAGTTATGACAAGGTGTTACCTTGTCATAAGCCTGAACCTGCCGGGATGGCACTCCCTCACCCCCGATACACACACCTTTTCTCAATGAAGTTCTATAATTTTAAGGGTTTATAGATTAATCCTTTATAAAGTCAGTTAATACTTTATGATAACTGATAGAACTATCTTAAAATTAAAAGTGTTGATGGCATTTTTCATTTTCATTGATGGTTATGCATGGTTATCTGTTCTACAGCCAGCAAATTTGAACCCATTTTATAAGGTTTCATTTCTAACAGCTGCTATCAATAGCATTCCTTTAGACAGGGAAATAATACAGTTGCCTAACAGTACCCAATACATGTTTTCATTGTCTGTTATTAAACCTACTTATGTTAAGGAAGTATCAGGGCATCTTTAAAGTCACAACTTTGATTTCCTTTAATTAAAAGAACTGATAAAGCATAGAAATATATTTGATCAAAAGGGGTCTCAGCATGAGTAAGTATATCATTGTCTTCTTAGGAAGAATTCAGGATGGTAACAAAAACTTAAAACTCAATTACTGTTCCTTAGTGGGAATGGCTCTAACTGTTCAGAAATAGGATTTTCCAGTTTTCCTTGCTGACCTTCAGTCAGCTCTTCCCTTCCGATACATGAAATATTTACCTAGTCCATGTAGCCCAAGTAATTCTGTCAATGGCAGCCTGATCCATAAGATGTTTTCCTGAAGGCACTTCATAGACATGCCGTTTATAGCAACCAGTGGAGACCTTTCATAATATTAAAATGGAACAATTCCATCATGTGAGAGGCAAAATCCAGAAGTAGTTTATAGTAAACTGGCAAAGTGCTACTTGATTTACATTTCTAACATTATTAAGACTAAAACATGACTAAAAAAATCTGTGAGCAAAAAAAATGAAGAAAAGGACTGGTAAGAATAGATTAGTAAAGAATTTATGCAGAAACAGTGAATAGTAGTGAATAAAAGGCAAGAGTTGAGAAGCTCTGGAACTGAGGAGTTTTAAAAGCACTCACTAACAAAATGTAAAGACTATTCGAATAGTCTTGGTACTGTACCTGGAGATGTCTGCTATCTGCAGAGAAGTCCATTTGAATGACAAAGCTTGGAATGTCTTTGCAGTAGCTGATTCTATTAAGGGTGGGACCCAATGTTAGGTCATAAAAATCCACTGAATTCTCACTGGAACCCACTGCCAGAAACCGGGAATCTGGACTAAATCTGAACATGTAACAAAAGATTCCATGTAAAAATGCATTAGACCACATGAAATAGTATAAACATTTAAGACCACTGACTTTTCAGTTCTCAAAAATAAGTATTTGAGACAAATAATGTGTGATATGGCCTCAAACAGATTTACCTGATAGTCAAAACAGATTGTGTACACTGATATTTGTCTGTGTTACATAAAACAGAAGGTTTATATTTTACTTCAACATTAAGTGGTTCCTGAATTTTCATCTCCTAATTTCTTTAAAAATAGCTCAGTTTTTTAAAAGCCACTAACAATTTACATATATTCCTAAATTACATAATTCAGTACGATAGGATCCTTTCATCTGGAAAGATCATATCTTAAGAGCAAGGGACACAGACCAGCTTAACTCATGTAACGTTATTAGATGAAGTGATACTACTTGAAGCTTGGAAGAAGTTGTTTTAAAATAATAAAGTACTATTTGCCTATCGATGATGCAAAGCAGTATGGGACAGTTCAGTTTTTTGAAAATACTCCATAAGTCTTGCTGATGTACCTTTGGGAAACTGGAGAGCTGAGGGAAGCCATAATTACTGTTTTATATACTGAAGATCTGAGGAAGGCTTCATTTGTAAAAACGGTTTTACTGGTGAAAACAGTGCAAGCTTTTGACAGACCTGGATTCAATAATCTATCTTGATCACATAGAAGTGCTCAGTAAATGGTAACCACTGTTAATATAAGCTTAAGCACTGAAAAAGGCTCAAGAAAAGTTTTAATTAATTCATAATCTGGGGCATAGATGTTCAATGACTATGGATTAAATGAATGAACTATATAGTCAGTGGAGATGAAGAGAAGTAAAAGACGTTTGGGGTTATAAGTTTAATTTTTCAGGCTTTCTAAGAGATGTTTGGGGTTATAACTTTAATTTTCCAGGCTTTTTTTGGGGGGGCTGCATTGGGTCTTCGTTGCTGCATGCAGTCTTTCTCTATGTGGTGAGTGGAGGCTACTCTCTGTTGTGGTGCGCGGGCTTCTTATTGCGGTGGCTTCTCTTATTGCGGAGCACACGCTCTAGGCACACGGGCTCAGTAGTTGTGGCTCATGGGCTCTAGAGCACGGCTCAGTAGTTGTGGCGCATGGGCTTAGTTGCTCTGCAGCATGTGGGATCTTCCCCGACCAGGGCTTGAACCTGTGTGTCCCCTGCACTGGCAGGCGGATTCTTAACCACTGCGCCACCAGGGAAGCCCTTCCAGGCTTTTTTTTTTTTTGCCACGCTGTGCGGCTTGCGGTATCCTAGTTCCCTAACTAGGGATTGAACCCGGGCCATAGCAGTGAAAGCGCCAAGTCCTAACCACTGGACTGCCAGGGAAGTCCCTAATTTTCCAGACTTTTAAGGGCAGATGGAAGATAATTCTTGGCAGGATGAACTTACTGGACATGTCCAGTGTGATACTAATTCATCAAACATTCCCTGAATACTTGCTATTATAAGGCACTGTGGCTGGTGCCCAGTGGACTCATAATTTAGTAAGGAGAAGTAGCTAAGTATACAAACAGCCATATTTCAGCATACAATTTATGATGTGTTGAAATGCTACAGGCACTAAGGACCTTTTTTCCAAATGCAAGCCGGGTCATTTAAAGAGTATCCTTGACATACCATTCCATTTGTTGACTAACCTGATATCGTGGATTGCACATCGTCTATCTCTCTTCTTTCCCCATATCTTTAGAGAGCTCACAAGTAAAATAATAAATTCTCCATTTTTCATTCCAATAGCCACCATGTCCCCTTCAGGGCTATAACACACAGTACGAGCAGCATGTCCCAAATTCACTTTGTTCAACATCTTCTGCATAAGAACCAAAAGAATCACAGAGAACTACATTAAGCAGAGTACTTACAAAGTAAACCAGTTTCTCCCCCAAGTTCTCAACACAATGCTGAGATAGTTCTTTAAGTGCTAGCAATTTAGAACTTTGCTTCTTAGAAATTGTAACATCTTTTAAAAAAAATTATACCTACTTTATCAGCAATGTCCCAGAGTCTCACTGTCCCATCTTCTGCAGCAGAAAGGAAAAAATCCCTGGAAGGATGTGTTGCCAGTCCCCATATAGGTCCATCCACATGACCGTTAACTAAAATATTACATGCTGCATTTTTCTCTCCAACTTCAATTATTTCAGCATTCCTTGTCCCTACTAGTATCTTGCCCTGAAACACAAGTGGGGCCAATATATTTAATGGAATACCACAGTTGCTCTTCTTAATAATATGAGAACGACCTTCTGGCCTATGTGATACTGTGACTTAGAATAAGAAATATACAGATCTTCCTCAACTTATGATGGGGTTGCATCTGATAAGCCCATCATAAGTTAAAAATGTCATAAGTTAGAAGTGCATTTGACACACCTAACCTATCAAACATGATAGCCTGGCCTACCTTAAACATGCTCAGGACACTTACTTGAGCCTCTAGTTGAGCAAAATCACCTAACACAAAGCCTATTTTATAATAAAGTGTTGGATACCTCATGTCGTTTATTGAATACTATCCTGAAAGTGAAAAACAGTGGTCGTCTCAGTACAGACAGCATGGCTGTAAGTGAATTGATTTTTGGCCCTTGCGGCTGACTGGGAGCTGTGGCTTGCTGCGCTGCCCGGCATCACGAGAGGATTGTACCGCACGTCACTAGCTGGGGCAAGATAAAAATTCAAAATTCGAAATATGGTTTCTACTGAATTTGTATCATTTTTGCACCATCTTAAAATCGAAAAGCTTTAACTTGGGGATGGCCTATATATTTGGTCTGTCCCCGCTTACTGGCATGAAGCTCCTAAAACCCTTGGGATTTCCTAAGTGATGAACAAAAGAGGGGTATCTTTTGTTATGGACCTCACCAAAGGATGGGGGCTGGTTGCCAGGAGACCCAACTATGTGATTAGGGGTTAGGAACTGGCAGTTTCACTCTCTCCTCTCCCCACCTCGGGGATGGGAGAGGGGCTAGAAGTTGAATCAGTTACCAATAGTGAAAGATTTAATCAATTATGACTATGTAAGAAGCCTCCATAAAAACCCAAAAGGTCAGGGTTTGGAGAGCTTTCAAGTTGGTGCACACGTGGTGATGCAGGCTGAGTGGTCATGGAAGTTCCTCTCCCCTCCCCATATACCTTGCCTTGTGCAGTTCTACATCTGGCAGTTCATGAGTTATATCCTTTTACAATAAACTGGTGATCCAGTAAGTAACATGTTTCTCTGAGCTCTGTAAGCCACTCTAGCAAAATAACTGAACCCGAGGAGGGGTCGTACAACCCTCTCTAATTTACAGGCAGTGGGTCAGAAGGACAGGTAACTGACTGGTGTCTGAAGTCCAGGAGGAGTTGTTGGGAACCCCAAGCTACAGCCGGTCAGAAGCATAGGTAAGAACGTGGCATCTGAAGTGGCGGTGAGGGGAGCAGTCTTGTAGGATTGAACCTTCAACCTGTGGAATCCAATCCCTTCTCTGGCAGATACTGTCAGAACTTAGTTGAATTTTTGGACACGCTGCTGGTGTTGGAGAATTGTTTGGTGGTGTGTGGGAAGCACCCCCAAACTCAACATACACACATTGGATTTGGGTCCAAAACCAAAATAACATACTTTCAGAGAATTTTTTGCTTTGACTAATTTAGTAGCAAGCCAGCCATTAGCTCATGCAAAGCTTTCTATGACCAGAGGTGCATCTGCAAGAGCACTGAGCCAGGCTGCATGTGCAAGCCCACGCTAAAGATAATACACCTCGCTTCTCCAGTCATCAAAGTTTTGACTTTGACTATGATATATTAGTCTGAAGATCTCCACAGAGGTGTAAGTGCATCGGGATACAGGAAGAAAGTATTGGATTTTAGTTAAAAATAACTATAAGTAAAAGTAAGCTTAACTAATATTTAATACACAGGATAATACATGTATGTAATTTATAAATACACTTATTGTGAGTGCATGCACGGTCAAATTTTTTAGAGCAATGTGTTTTTTTTAAACAAATGGAGACAGCTGCTTTAATCAAAACGAGTCAACTGGCAAATAAATTTAGCTGTCTACCAGAGTTGAATTAGCAGATGCAAGAAAATAAGGAGGTTTAGATACAGTGCTTAGGAGAACAGCTTCCTGTCTTTCTGCAAAGAAAGCAGCAGAGAAGAGGCAGAGGAAAAGCGGCAAGCAAGTCCATCTTTGAGTTATTATTCATCAAGTTGCGAAGGTGAGAGAATCACAGGAATAACTGTTTTCTACTGTCTGCTGCACTGTAATGCCTCAAGAAACATCTTACCTTGCCTCTGCACACAGAACGGACACAATCTGTGACTTGTCCTGTCTCAAGCCTGAAGGCGCGGCATCGCCTCAGTTCCTGATCCCACAGTTTGACTGCTCCTCCTTCTTTTGACCTAAGAAAATAACAACCCAAACCAAAAGAAGCATTTATTATTGGCTATTACAAATAATTTTTATTATAAACAAATACTAAATTATAAGCAGAACAGAAAAAGAGGCTCCAATCTTATATTCTTCTAAACTTTCTATGGCAATTTTTAGATATAGTGTCTCAAACATTCAGTTTAAGCAAATTTTATTTTATGAACACTTATTTTTCTGACATCAGCATAAGTTTACTTAGCACTGCCCCCTGCCCATACATCATATATCCTCTCTCATAATACTTCTTGACTGAGGAAACGTGCAAAATGGATTTTTTTTTTTTTTTGGCTGTGCATGTGGCTTGTGGGATCTTAGTTCTCCGACCAGGGGTTGAACCTGGGCCACAGAAGTGAAAGTGCCAAGTCCTATCCACTGGACCGCCAGGGAAGTCCCCAAAATGATTCTTAATGTTAAGAGGATAATGGAAATGCAAGGCTAGATAATAGGATTACAGATGCTGTGCTACAGAATATATTTTCAGGGCCAAAAGAGCAGCACATTTCTTTCCAACCACTATTATTAAATATGCTACTGAACAGTTTAGTAGGTTACTAGTGAGTAGGAGTGTGCAAGACTAGATGAGGTGTGGAAACACGAGTGTCAGAGTAATATGCAAAAGATAAATATAGCCCATTTATGTTTTTTTCTCTTATACAGTCTTCCTTTATGTGAAAAGCAAAAGCTGCTGCATATTTGTGGTTCTTTCAGTGCTGTATAGGAATGTACTTACTTCCTGGTCACATATACATTCCATTTTAACACGCATATGAATATGCTAGTAGGAAATCAATGATAAGTATCTGGTTTCCACTGGGAGATTTGAAAACCACTCAGAAAAAGGCCTCTCCTCACACATTTCGAGGTCTTGTCTTAATTTTATCTAACAAGTTTGCCTCAAGCAAAAGCAAACAAGGCAAAGTTTATTTTTAGTATCCTCTCATCCTTTTCTAATGCAGCAGTATGAATTTTATCCCTTAGTATCCAGTTTGAACCAAAAAGAAAGCAGGCAGTCGAGATGCATCCTGAGTCCAATGGCAAAGATTCCCCCATAGATCACCACCTGCTACTCAGCCAGTATTTATACAGGCAGAGAGGCATTAAGAAAATCAATTCCTAACCTGCAAGATAGCTACCTATCCATACCTCAGAAAAATGATCACCCAGTTGGAGTTTAGACTTACCTACAATGTGAAAAACATTGGGAGGGATTTAAGACCAGAAATAAAAATCAACAAGCTGGTGCATAAAAGGCAGTAAAGGAGAAGCATATGAGGAGGAAGGTCAGAGGATAATCCATGTGGCCTAGACATAACTAACTGCAAACCAGAGGCATCACAACGCATGAATATTCAGTAAGGCTGTGAAAAGAAAGAGGACTCACGGCCTCTCCTTGCCACCAGTGACAATAAGTCCGTCTCGAAGGGTGGTGTACATGGCAAACACAGGCCCATTGTGAGCTTTGGCCACGATTCTGCACAATATGTGGTCTTTCCACACACAGACATCTCCACTGATGGTACCTGTAAACGTCAAGTTATTCTGAAAAGGAGTGGGGAAGGGGGAGATAAACTCATGAAAAGTTCAAATAGAGTTCAAACAGCAATTCTCTATGTAAGTGTGAGCCTATGTCACTTTTTTTTTTTGGTAGTGAAGTGTTTATTAGGAGGAAAAAGGGTACGTGTGGAGAGACACATGGGTGGACTCAGAGAGAGAGTCACGCTATGTCACCTTTTTGATACAAAGAGCATGGGTGGCGGGAAAACAGTAGAGTCAAGAGTCAGAAAACCTGAAATCAAGGCTTAGCTTTGTTAGGGCCATTTCCTTTTCCAGGTCTTTTGTTTATTAGCTGGAATAACTTTGGTCAAGACTTTTAACCTCTATGAGTATCAACTTTTTCAGTGTAAAATGAGGGATCTCTAAATCCCTAAAGTCTCTAAGGTCCCTTCCAATTCAAATATGCTGTAGTTCTAGTTTATATCACCTCTTTGGATTGCTTCCCTCTAGCTGCCCAAAAAATAACTTAAAGTCATTAGTAACTGAGAGTAAAAAAAACAGAATAGGAATAGGGAGTGAAAATAACTTTTATTAGGTTTGATAAGGTATTTTGTCATGGAAAGTAAAACTATTATCTGTAGCAAAGTTGTAGTTTTTCAGAAATTGTATATGAAAATATTTGCCATGATTTCTTAAAATCAAAACAGCAAAAGTTACTGCCTTTCTGCAATGAATCCAAACTAATATAAACGTGTTAAGGCACCGAAAGCTTAAGAATGACTGAGGTGCCTGAGAACTGCAGTCCTGATGCAGTTCATTTATGCAAAAGCTGGAGAAAGCAAATCCTGCGTTATGTGCTAGTTTCGTCTCATTTTAGCTTCACTTTTAGAGCAACTTGTATAAGATCCTTCACCAAAAACAATATGGAAAGAACCAATAAGAAAATAAGATTTTGGATTGTATCAAAAACAGATTTTCTTGAATCTTTCTGAGAATACTAGTTTGTAGGCTTAATTTCCCTACAATTTAATATTACTTCAAATTCCTCAGCATTTATACTTAATCTCTGTATCTTTTATTTGGAAAACAATGATTACATTGGGTTGGCCAAAAAGTGCCTTTGGCTTTTAAGTAAAAATAAAAGACACATTTTTCATTTTCACCAAGAACTTTACTGAACAACATATTCACCTTTTTGTTCCACCACCTTCTGCCATTTTTCAGGCAACTTCATAATTTCATCTTCCCAAAATTTTTTATCTTTTTGAGCAAAGAACTGTTCCAGGTGCCTTTTACAGTCTTCCAGGGAATTGAAATTTTTCCAGTAAGAGAATTTTGCAAATACCTAAATAAATGGAAATCCGAAGGTGCAATGTCTGGTGAATACGGCAGATCAATCAGAACTTCCCAGCCACGCTGTAACAGTTTTTGCCTGGTCATCAAAGAAACATGTGGTCTTGTGTTATCCTGATGGAAGATTATGTGTTTTCTATTGACTAAGTCTGGATGCTTTTCGTCGAGTGCTGCTTTCAGTTGGTCTAATGGGGAGCAGTACTTGTTGGAATTAATCATCTGGTTTTCCGGAAGGAGCTCATAATAGATGACTCCCAATCCCACCATATACACAACATCACCTTCTTTGGATGAAGACCGGCCTTTGGTGTAGTTGGTGGTGGTTCATTTCGCTTGCCCCACGATCTCTTCCATTCCACATTATTGTACAATATCCACTTTTCATAGCCCATCACAATTTATTTAAAAAATGGAACACTGTCATTATGTTTAAGTAGAGAATCGCATGCAGAAGTACGGTCAAGGTTTTTTTTCGCTTAACTTATGTGGAAGCCAAATATCAAAGCGATTCAAGCTGGTGCAAATGATTTTCAACACTTGTTTTGGATATTTTCAGTAGTCGGCTATCTTCCTCGTGGTATAACGTTGATTGTTCTCAGTTAATGTCTTGATTTGATCGCTATCAACTTCAACTGGTCTACCCGACCGTGGAGCACTGTCCAGCGAGAAATCTCCAGCACAAAACTTCACAAACCACTTTTGACACGTTTGATCAGTCACAGCACCTTCTCCATACACTGCACAAATCTTTTTTTTGCATTTCAGTTGCATTTTTACCTTTCTTGAAATAATAAAGCATAATAGGCCAAAAATGTGGCTTTTTTTCTTCCATCTTCAATATTAAAATGGCTACACAAAAATTCACCAATTTTGATAAGTCTTTTTTTAAATGCACACTGATGTGACAGCTGTCACATACAATCTAACAAAATTGTTTCTAATGACGTTAAAGACATCTAAGTGCTAATAGAGCCATCTTACAGAAAAAACTGAACGAACCTTTTGGCCAACTCAATACTTGTCACATAGGAGCATCTTTAATTCACGCCTTATCTGCGATTGGAATGTAAAAACAAACATTTTACTTCGCCTGCTCTTTTCATAGCCCCCTAGCATAGAGGATGCTCAAAAAGGCTTAAACTGAACATCAACCCATTTTGTTATATAACAAAACATTCGCACTGATTGCACTGTTGCTTCAAACATAAAAAGTCAATTATGACTAATATTCTTTTTTTTATGAAAATATTGAGAATGTTTTTATTTAGGCAAAAGAAAAATGAACAGGCAATAGTGTCACTCTTTTACTTATAATTTCTAAAGGCTCCTCACATATGACTAACAGTCTAATCTTCAAGTTTATATTCTATTGGGAATGGGCAATTGACTAAATAAGGAATTTTATACACAAAGATTAGTTAACGTAGATGGGGCATATTAAATGTATGCAAACACTTGAATGCATAAGCTTTTCTTCTGGAAAGAATTACTGGTCTTGTATTAAGAATCTCCACAATATTTAACTGAAGTTTGACATGGCACAACCAGCACTTTCAATGGTCTCAAAAATATAAGTGTTCTTTAAGAATCTAGAATTATAATTTTCTTCCTTCGGGTATTACATACCCACATAAACACTTTAGTAAGAAAACCGACTTAGTTTTTTGATGCACCAAAGGATTTAAAAAGCCTGGCCAGGGCAAGGTATTAAAGGAAAGAGATGTGTCTTGTAAACCACAAGCCCAGGTGGAATGGGGGAGGGGAGGGGAGGGGAGGAAATGGCTCTTGAACACTCTTTCTAGTAAACTAGACCAGGAACTGAGCTCGCCTTCTTCCCTTTAATGAGAGACACTGGCCAAGAGCACTTCCAGCTACATAATAAGCAGTGAGTTAAGATGATAGGAAGCAAAGGAAATCCTAAACCAAGTACCACCTTAAATACTAGAAAAATCACGTTTCATGATTTATCTTTCTCCTATTCTGACAAATTATTATAGGACCTAGGAGATTCAGGGTGACACTTATAAAATTAATGAAGGCTTTTGAGAATGGCAGTGGCCCAAGGACTCAGATGTTTTATAATCCTTCTCCCTCGTTAACTCTCTTTCCCAGTCCCTGATTTCTGAAAGTATCAGAATTTGAAAGCTGAAATACATGCATGACCAGGACATATGTAAGGATTAGGGGACTAGAGTGCCATATAAACAACATTCATGTGGTTCATCTATCTAAGGCAAGAAAATTCAAACTCGTCCAATTTGGGTAATTCACAGTTACACTACCACATGCATTTTAAGAGACATACTGCACCAAATGCAACAGCAAGCATGGTCTGCATCCGGGCATCTTGCAGTGTGCTCAGTAGCCCTTTTTTGCTAAGAAGAGCTCTTCCTGCCAATGTCCAGAACTTAACATGCTTTACTCCCACAGAGACAAACTGGGAATCTGAATCTGGTCGGAATTCTGCCACAAAAATACGTTGGTTGTGACCAGCTCTGCTGGCAATTTTGGCACCTGATAAAAAAGATACAACAAAATTTTCTAGGTTAGTATAAGAACTAAGCTAATTTTTACAGGATCAAACAGTTATTGAAAATATATAGTTCAAAAAATAAATGCTTATAAAAAGAGAGAGCAGGGAATTCCCTGGCGGTCCAGTGGTTAGACTCAGCGCTTTCACTGCTGAGGGCCCCCTGATCGGGGAACTAAGATTCCACAACTTGCGCCGGCACGGCCCCCCAAAAAAGGGAGAGGGCATGTCCCTTGCACTGCTACCTAGCAATCACATGACATACAATTAATAGTGTAGAGGGTCCTTTTTACATATTTTTGCAAGTGATGTGTAATTTATGGAAAGCTTTATTATAATTTAAGGGGCATTTTAGAAACCATATCTTATTTTTTTCTGTGTAGCTCTATGAATTTCACTTTTTTATAATGGCTATGTAACTGAAAAGTTTTGCCCGAAATGTGTTAAAGTAATATTACCCTATTGCCCTTCCATTATCACTTAACAATATAATTCATCGCATTCTCGAGTAAGATCCTCTATAACCAAATAATAATTAGCAAGACACTTACATGCATAGTTTCTTACTGAAAGAACAGTGAATCATTTATAATATTAATAACTTTCATTAGTTTATACTTTGTTTACAATTTCACTGGGTTTTGAAAGTAGAACATACCTACAACTGTGTATGGGTATTGAGTAAGGCTTAATAGTGAATAATGGTTTCAATCACCAAGTTAACACAAATATGAAATAGAAAATTCCTATCACCCCATTTTTATTTTTTAAAATTACAAAGAAAAAAATTCCTACCTTCCTGCCATCTCCAAATGGTAATTGTATGTTCTGGGTCTAGCCCCACAGATAGCAAGAGTTTTCCAGTAGCACTGAAACTAACTGAACACACTCCCTTTGAATGGTAGCATCTTAGTATAGATAAAGTCTGCTTGTTCACTGCATCCCAGATGTGGATAGAAGGAGCTGTAGCTAAACAAAGATAAAATCCCAAAGTTGTAATACACCTATTATAAATGTTTCCATTTCTAAGGCTGATGCATACTCATCTCTGAAACACAAGAAAAATATGTACCAAAGAAAGACTGTACTTAATAAAAAATAGCTCAAAACTAAGACTGAATTAAAAAGAAAGAAAGAAAAGGGAAGAGAAAGGAAAGGAAGGGAGAAAAATACAGACTACTTCCTCAGGCTATAGTCCAAATTGCACTTTTGAGAAAATAGCATTTAGACAAGCAAATTAGGTAATCACAACTTTAAACAACTTTTCAAAAAATAATGTATGTTTTAGATACACGTTAAATCTTTATATAATTATGTGGAGAAATATAAAAACATTATACACTTATGAAATACCAGGATATATTTATTACCTATTTATATGAAGGAGAGATAGAAAGTGAATACAAATTGAGAAAGGCAGTAGGTAGGAAACCATGTGAATAGATCACAAAGGAAATCTTCAACTGCATAGGCATATATCTGGTAAAAAACTAAGTTCATATCACTTTATAAGACAGTAGTTTTGTTTTTTTAAAACAGGATTTCATGGAAGAAATTAAACTGCTAATCTTTTTAAAAAATTATATTTGTTTTTTTTTTTCTTTTTTAGATTTTTAAATTTATCTTGTCCAGCCTTTTTCTACTGCTTAAAATGTCTTCCCAGTTCTCTGTATTTCCTAGGTTAAAAAACCATAGCTTTGGACTGTCCTTTTTTCAAGAATTGCACCCTATAAAAAGGAATAGGTAAGTCAATTCAGCAGCTAATTCAGTCTCAGAACATAAGTACTTTTAGTAAAATAATCAAAATATGGAAGAGCATTTGCTTCAAATTATAAATGTGATTATAAATTTAATCTCTCCAGTGATGGACTCTGCACTTAGCACGAATCCGCACTCCTCTCCATGATCGGCAAAGCCCTACGTGACTGACTCCTGCCCCTCTCTAGGTTCATCTCAGAGGCCTTACTGCAGTCACACGGACCTTCCTGTTTCTTGATTCAGCTTTAGGGCCTCCCCAGGAGGGAGTTAACAGACGCAGGACTGAGGTTACTATCACTAGAATGGCCTGCTTGCTAGTGTGTGAGAACTTGACTTTTGAAATGTTCCCTATGTTGATAAGGTTATTTTGTCCACGGGGGGCACTGAATACCTGCTTTCTTCTGGGACTATGGTATTTTAGTAGTTGTGGCTTTGTGTCTATGTGACCAGCCCCCAGTAAAAACCTTGGTCTCAGAGTCCTCAGTGGGTTTCCCTGGGCAGAAACACTGCACCTGCATTGATATATCTGGCTGCTGGTAGAAGAAGCAGGTTCTGTGTGACCCCTGGAAGAGTGTGTTTTGTTTTTTGTTTTTTTGCGGTCCGCGGGCCTCTCACTGTTGTGGCCTCTCCCGTTGCGGAGCACAGCCTCCGGACTCGCAGGCTCAGCGGCCATGGCTCACAGGCCCAGCCGCTCTGTGGCATGTGGGATCTTCCCGGACCGGGGCACGAACCCGTGTCCCCTGCATCGGCAGGCGGACTCTCAACCACTGTGCCACCAGGGAAGCCCTGGAGGAGTGTTTTGGAAGAGACATAGAAAGCCTGTGCCTCTATCCTCTAGGCTCCACCTGATGTGTCTTTTTCCCTTGCTGATCATTGTAATAAGCTACTGCACCGTAACTATCTCTGGGTCCTGTGATTCCTTCTAGTGAATCACTGAATGTGTGGGTGGTTGTAGGATTCCCAAACCAGGCCTCAGCCTAGAGCCCCCAGGTCACCCTTCAGGTATCACTGTTTTGTATCATTCTTGGCCTAGCTAAATGTTACCACCTCTGAAAAAACACTGTTTTGTGGCCCTCGCCCTATTTGTTGTTTTTATCACATTTATCACCATCTTAGATCATGTTATTTAGGAAAAAAAGTACTTATTTATTGCCTGTCTCCCTCTAAAGCAGAAGTCAGCAAACTTCCACTGTAAAGGGTCAGATAAGAGACAAAACTGAAGGTATTATGCAGGTACTTGTGTAATAAAACAAATTTTCACAAAATTTTTATTGGTGAAATTCATTGAGTGAAATTTTTTATAATATAGATCTACTAATGAGAATGAAATTTTTTGGGGGGGATAATTCACTTAAGTAGGGTTCAAAATCAGAGTTCTTTATTTTTTTAAAAAAAATTACAAATGTTCATCTGATAATGATCTATAATAATTTTCAACTTTGAAAATGTCTCACACAGATAGGTACTGTCAAATATGAATATCATCCAAAAGCATATGATTTTTTTTTTTTTCCTTTTGCGGTACGCAGGCCTCTCACTGTTGTGGCCTCTCCCATTGCGGAGCACAGGCTCCGGACGTGCAGGCTCAGCACCCATGGCTCATGGGCCCAGCCGCTCCGCGGCATGTGGGATATTCTCGGACCGGGGCACGAACCCGTGTCCCCTGCATCGGCAGGCGGACTCTCAACCACTGCGCCACCAGGGAAGCCCCAAAAGCATATGATTTTAATTGAGCATATTAATCACTTGGAAGGCATTCAGAAAATTCTATTAGAGTCTTATCTTGATATTTGCATTTTAGCATGTATTACATTGCAGAATAATAACTTTAAATTGAAGGTTAGGTGGAAGTTCCTCAATTGTACAGTTAAACAGATTTTTTAAATATGGAAATTTTCTCTACGCTTGTATCAAGATCTAAAAAATGCTGCTGGAACTGTAACTTGAGCCCAGAAAATACATTTGCTGCAAATTTGTGTGGGAATGGGAATCTCAGTTCTCATCTTAATTTTTGACAGTATGAGAAGCATATAGTGAAGTTTGGTGTTACTTGTGAGTCAAAGATTAGTTGCCATCAAATGACTTTCCTGCAGTATAAGTTTCACATATATGCACTGTAACTGAAATTTCAGGTTGTAATTGTAATTTCCCTGTTATTTCAGGTTGAATCATTAAGAAACATTATCAAGTATGCAGCAAAAACTAATTTCCAAAGCCACTGAGTTTTCCATAACGGAGACTGAGGGCAGTTCTTCTCACTCAGAAAAATTTCAGTCCTGGCTCTGAGCTACAGAAATTGCCAAAAAAACAAAAAAACCCAAAATGTTACCACTGCTAAACCACTGAACTGCTGTGGGGATAAGGCAAGTCAGGACTTTCACCTTCTATTTCTAACATAAATTAACAGAACTGATGATGGTTAAGTCTATGAGAGCAAACAAAATTAACTGTTGACTCTAAATAACAAAATATTGAAGTTCAATTACACATGACAGATTGAAATATTTTCCACAAACCACCTGCTGACAAAGAACACAATGAATAGCCATAAATGCCTTAAATGATTATAGAGGCAAACTTCAGTCACTTAAAAGTCTGCACCGATTCCTCAAATAAACAACTGGCAACATTTGTCAACCCATCAAGAGCCAAGGGAAACCATTAAAAATCATCTGCCTTTTTCTGGCTTTGTTTTTAGAGACTACTGATGTTGTTCCCAATGTCCTCAGTTCTTTTAGCAATGGTTTTTGCCAAAAAGCTAAGAGTCTTAAGTTTATTTTCTCTGGACACTTGTTCGTTGTAATCAAACATGATTTAATTAACTCACAGTAATAAACAGCTTTTCTTGATTAGCTAACAAATGAGTCATTCAGAACCTTACTTAGGTTGTAGCCACATTTTATTTTATTTTATTTTTTGAAGAAATTCTGTTGTGATGAGATATTGTCTTAAAGTTTCTAATTTTTTCTGATTTTTGCTTTCCTGTGAACTGGGAATACTGTGATAAAGTTTAGTGTGAAAATGTTGACATATATTGTATTCTTTTAGCACAGCTATAGTATCATTGCATAATAAACACAATGTTTTACCCACTAATTTCATAACAACATAATCCACACTTCACTGTGCCTTTTGAGTTTGACATTTGAAGTCTATTTTCCTTTCCTCTCTCTTGTTTTGACATGATAGATATACCCTGCTTAAAAACCAAAAAAATGGCAGCAATGTGGATGGACCTAGAGAGTAGCATATTTAGTGAAGTCAGATAGAGAAAGACAAATACGGTATGACATGACCTATATGTAGAATCTAAAAAACAATACAAACAAATGTATATGTAAAACAGAAACAGACTCACAGACATAGAAAACAAACCAGTGGTTACCTAAGGAGAGAGGAAAGAGGGGAGGGGCAAATTAGGGATATGAGATTAAGAGATGCAAACTGCTTTGTATAAAATAGGTAAGGATATATTGTATAGCACAGGGTAATTATAGCCATTATCTTGTAATAACTTTTAGTGGAGTATAAGCTGTAAAAAAATGAATCACAATGCTGTACACCTGAAACTAATATGTACATCAACTGTACTTCAATAACAAAAAAATGTTGTGGAATAGCAATACACGTAGCACTCCAAACCTGTCAAGTTTTAAAAGAGAATCACTGCAATTTGCAGTGTGCTAAGCAGCAGTGGAAAGCAATGAGAGTGTTGTAAACAGTCTCTGTTGCAACTATTCAACACTGCCATTAAAGCACAAAAGCTGCCATAGACGATATGTAACTGAATGAGCATGGCTGTGTCCAATAAAACTTTATGGATACTGAAATCTGAATTTCATATACTTTTCATGTTTTGTGAAATTTTATTCTTCTCGTGTTATTTTCCAACTACTTAAATTAATAAAAACTATACTCAATCATGGGCTGTACAAAAACACGTGCTGGATCAGATTTGGGCCAAGGGCTGTAGTTTGCTAACCCCTGCTCTTGAGTGTAGACCAAGAGAGTAAGGACCTTGCCTGTTGTGTTGAATAAATTTGTAGTTAAACAGTCAAATCACAAAATCATGCTTTACCCTGGAGGAGGGGAGGGAAATGGATACAAATCACATAAATTGGTATAAATCAAATAAATGTTTTCTTATCAAACTGCTAATTCTTACTATATTATGTAAACTGAAATACAGTTGAAAAAGCCTAGTTATTATAATATCTAAAAACAACAGGCATGCATTGTTCATCTAACAGCTTTTTAACTTCACAAAGCCACGGTCAAAATCAATAATAGGGCTTCCCTGGTGGCACAGGGGTTGAGAGTCCGCCTGCCGATGCAGGGGACACGGGTTCGTGCCCCGGTCTGGGAGGATCCCGCATGCCACGGAGCGGCTGGGCCCGTGAGCCATGGCCACTGAGCCTGTACGTCCGGAGTCTGTGCTCCACAACGGGAGAGGCCACAACAGTGAGAGGCCCGCATACCGCAAAAAAAAAAAGAAAAAAAATCAATAATAAAAAGTTATTTTCAAATCTTTAAATGCTCTGTTGATCTAGTATGTGCAATAATTAAGATGGTTACATAAAAATAATAAATTTTTAAAAATTTTATTTCTAGGCAATACAATTTATTGATTCATATTTAAGATCAAGTTTTAGCCCCACCTTTATTCTTACCAGCTATGTGATATTGGCAAGTTAATATCTACTATGAAGAATTCTTGTGATGACTTACAACAATGCTGGGCACACTAAGAAGGTCAAAATATATTACCTTTTTTAAAAAAAAAACTTATTATTGCAGATAGGGCTCAGCATCATGACATTAAAATGCTGTATTCTTAATTTAAAAGAAACCCAAAATAGGTTCAAGTATCTTATTACTCTATAAAAATTTGGGCTATCATTACTTAACAATACGACTGAAATAGAAAATGATTAATTTCCTTACCTGACATGTCTGCTGAATCACCTATAATGGAAATATAGCAGAATAATAATTATCCATAAATACTATAAGCAAAATTTGTAAAAACTCACTTATCATAAAATGATGATTTTAAGTAATTTAAATAATTGTTATATAAAAATTAATTTTATTATGCAAAATTGAGTACACTGTAAGTAAAGCCACTAATTTCAATTATATATGCATATTAACATTCTATGCATATGACCTTTCAATCTTTGGATCAATATTTTCTTTATATATAGTGAGTCACATGAAATTTTAAATATAGCAACTTAAAATAATATTGATATGGTTTAAAATTGATATGACTTTATTTTGGTTTAAAAAAGGCCCTGTTAAAAAAAAAAAAAAAAAAAAAAAAAAAAAAGGCCCTGTTAACAGATCCTTTGGGCTTTAATGGATCTCTACATGCAGGGAAGAATTAGATCTAAACCTTCTGAGAGAAATGATGGCAAAAGTTAGCATGTAGCTCAAGAAAAAAAAAAAAAGCTCTTAATTCAGGCCACAAATTAACCCCTTTCTTTTTTTTTTTAATTAAACATTTTCTGTATGAGTAAAAGATTACCAAAAAAGAAAACACGAAACTCATTATATTTGCAGTGGAAATATTTATTAACCACAATTTTAGAAGCAATAGTCTATTGCAAGAAAGAAAGCAGAAAAATTTAGCAATCTTTTCAAAATAGATGATTGTTCTGTGCTTTGGTAGAGCTTTATATCCCTATGAAATAATTATTTCAATGACATATGTAGACCTATCGTATCCTGACCTGGAATACGAGAGAAAAGGTAATGAAGTACTTGACTCTGCTGAACAGACCAGTCAGGATATAGCACTTTTAGTTTTGAACATGCTCTGATAACAACCAAATGATGAGAGGACTTGAAACTATGTCACATGAAGAATGGTTTAAAGACTGAGGGTGTTTGGTTTTGGCGATCAGGCTTATCCCAGAATATCTGCAGGGCCTGGGACAATTAAGAGTACAGATAAAGATCTAAACATCACAGGTCTAAATATTCTGGGTGCCCCAAAATGAGGACCAGTGAATTGCAATGAAAGAGAAATAAATTTTGGTTCTATATGAAGAAGCACTTTATAACAGAGCTTCCTGGGCTTCCCTCGTGGTGCAGTGGTTAAGAATCTGCCTGCCAATGCAGGGGACACGGGTTCGAACCGTGGTCTGGGAATATCCCACATGCCATGGAAAAACTAAGCCCATGTGCCACAACTACTGAGCCTGCACTCTAGAGCCCACAAGCCACAACTACTGAGTCCATGTGCCACAACTACTGAAGCACACGTGCTTAGAACCCACACACTGCAACGAAGAGCAGCCCCTGCTCGCCACTCGAGAAAATGGCGCAACTTGAGAAAGCCTGCGTGCAGCAACAAAGACCCAACACAGCCAAAAATAAATAAATAAAATAAATAAGTTTATTAAAAAAAACAAACAAACAGAGCTTCCTAAGGAGAGGTTAGGTTACTCTGTTAGGCATCAAGTGATAATGGGGTTCAAGCACGTGTAGGAGGATCCTTAATCAAATATGTAAAAAAGGAAATTCAAACATCTAATGATGGACAGCTAATGATGGATAAAATGATACATTTGGCTCTGACATTCCAAGAAAAAAGAAAAGTTTGAATGTAACTGGCTAAAATACCACAAAAGCAAATATTTCACTTCCTCTATGATTTACATGACTTCTTAACAAAGAGAACCATATGCATTTTAGAAAGTGTTTTCGTGCTTTGTGGGTTTTAAACAAGCCTGGCATGCAAAGTACCTACTGATTCAATTTTCTGTAGGTTCAGAAGAGAAAAAGTCTCTTACTCTTTGATCTTCTCTTGAGTCTGTCTTACACTTAATTAGGCATCAGTAAAGAATTTTATGTCTTGTGGAATGGTACAAGTAGGGCAAGGCACAGAACTACATACATGATCTAAAATCCATCTCTGTACTGGCTGAACTTTGACTTGGAAGGAGAAAGAGGGGGAGATAATTAGCCATTCCACATTCTCCATAGTGTTGCCTTTCAACAAAAGAGAAAGAATACAAATATCAAATCATGCATTTGAAACTAACATAATATTTTATGTCAATTATATCTCAATTTTAAAAAAGGAAAGAAGTAGAGGTCAAATTTTATGAAAGATTAATTTGTGACATTTCTCAATCAAAAGAGAAAACTATAGCCCTAATATGGTAAACAAAGTTGCTTTTTTTTTTCTTTTTTTTTTTTTTGCGGTACGCAGGCCTCTCACTGTTGTGGCCGCTCCCGTTGCGGAGCACAGGCTCTGGACTCGCAGGCTCAGCGGCCATGGCTCAAGGGCCCAGCCGCTCTGCGGCATGTGGGATCTTCCCGGACCGGGGCACGAACCCGCGTCCCCTGCATCGGCAGGCGGACTCCCAACCACTGCGCCACCAGGGAAGCCCCCAAAGTTGCTTTTTTAAAGGGAGAAAAGGGGAAAGAAAAGGAGAAGGAGCAAAGCTGGGAAATGGAAGAACCATACCTTCTAGGATTCCATTCATCCACTAACATAGAGATTTTGTCTTTTTTTGTAAGCTGCTTATACCCTGAGCACCAAGAACAATACCTTGCACGTGGCAGATACTCAGTAAATTTGTTGAATAAATGAACTTAATAAAAATTAACTGATCAATAACTATATGCCAAGAGGCACTAAACATGATGCTTTCATGACCAAAATGGTAACTTGGTCTCTTATTCCTCATGCAAAGTGAAAAGAAGACTTCAATTTCAAAAACTTAGTGTGAAAATGGGCTAGATCTACGTATTTATATTCAAAGATTAGAAAGGCTGGGCCTCCCTGGTGGCGCAGTGGTTGGGAGTCCGCCTGCCGATGCAGGGGACGCGGGTTCACGCCCTGGTCCGGGAGGATCCCACATGCCGCGGAGCGGCTGGGCCCGTGAGCCATGGCTGCTGGGCCTGCGCGTCCGGAGCCTGTGCTCCGCAACGGGAGAGGCCCGCGTACCGCAAAAAAAAAAAAAAAAAAAAAAAAAAAAATAGATTAGAAAGGCTGGATCAAGAGGCAGAATAGAAGGATGTGGAGCTCACCTTCTCCTACAAATACATCAGAACTACATCTACATGTGGAACCCTTCTCACAGAATACCTGCTGAACACCAGCAGATCTCATAAAACCAAAGTTGCAAGAAAGATCACCACGTAACCAGGTAGGATGAAAGAAAAAAAAAAAAAAGAAGAATCAGGACAGGACGTGTGCCCTGGCAGAGAGCTATGAAAAAGGAAAGATTCCCTCACCCTGGGAAGTCTCTTCACTGGTGGTGAGATCAGCTGGGACAGAAAGGGAGCTTCAGAGGCTCACAGAAGAGTAGAGCAGCCGGTTTACAGCAGGCAGAACAGATAGAGACCAATACAGAGGGTCCTGGCCACCTCCCTGCCCTCCCCAGCCTGAGATGTGCATCTGCTAGTGTGTGCGGGGGTGCTGGGCACTGAAACTTGGGTTTCAGAGGACAGATCTGGGGAGAGGACTGGCGTTGGTTGTGTGGAGACAGCCTGAAGGGGCTGAAGTGTGGTCCAAGCCACAATCAGGGGTGTGCGCAGGAAGGAGCTTGGGTCTGCCACTGAAGTCCCATTGTTAATGCTCGAGGGGAGGGGCAGGGCCCCTGCCGTAGCAGCCTCCCATTCTTGGAGTGCTCGTGGTGGTGCAGCTCTGCCTCTTTGAGCTCTGGGAGAGTGTAAGTACCAGAGGATTGTCCATACTTGGAGGCAGGGCTGAAATCCAAACCGATCCCCAGGGGCCGTGTGACTTTGGAAGCAAGGCTGAAATCTGAGTGTCCCAGAGGTTGTGGGATCTGTGAATTTAGGCACTTTGTAAACTCAGTGCCCGTGGGACATCCGAGCAGATTACTGGTGATCTTGTGGATGGGGCGGGTCCAGCGATAGTGGCTGTGGGCTTTTCCACAGTCTGGGCTGACTCAGTAGCTCTACAATGGGTCCAGGTGCAAGACTTTGGCAGTCCCGGTACCTGATCTCAGCAGTTCTGCACCAAGGGATCTGTGCTAGTGGCTTTGTGAGCACAGCACCTGAGGGACACCCAGGACAACTGCCTGAATTCCCACAGTTGAGGTGGGGCCGAGGGCAGTGCCAAAACAGTGTACTTTGTGAGTCCACACAACGGGTGACAGGCAACATCACAGAGCGCACTTCCTGGTGGACAGCTCCTACAAAGCAATACTCAGTGGCTCCTCTCCCTGCTCCAGCCCTGCCTACCTCACACCGCAGTTCAGAAACGGATCTGGGGGTGTCTACTCCAACAAGTGGGGAGCAGACTTTGCCCCCAACAGGGCTGTGACAAGCACAGACCAAAGAGGAGGGCCCATTCAACATCCAGTGCAGGCTCTGGTCACCACAACAACAATTACACCCCCTATCAAGGGGATAATGGTCAACACCCACTGAGGAAAGATGTGGCAGGTATCCATACTAAAAACAGCCCTCGCACTAAAAATATTAGACTCATGGAGCATACACAGGGACAATTCCACATAAAAAGAGCCCTTCAGGACCACAGTAGATAACTGTTTCTCTTAAATTCATAAAGCCAGAGAAATATGAGTAAAATGAAGAAGCAGAGGAACCACTCCTGATTTAAAGATCAAGAGAATTCCCCTGAAAGAACAAAGAATGAAGCAGACCTCTCCAGTTTACTAGACCCTGAGTTCAAGAAGGAAATAATGAAAATACTGAAGGAATGAAGAAGGGCTATTGATAGAAATGCAGATTTCTATCTATGCAGATTTATAAAATATATAGTATTTTATAAAATACTATACTATAAAAAGTAATTAGAAACTATAAAGAGGAAGCCGATTAAAATTAGAAAACTCATTTGCCAAGACAAAAGCTGAGCTAAAGGCAATAAATAGCAAACTGGATAATGCAGAAGAATAAATAAGTGATCTGGAAGACAGAATAATGGAAATCATCCAATCAGATCAGCAGACAGAAAG